TCACATACAGTGTTCATACACTAATATGAATTAGCCCTTTGTCCTTTATATCTGATTCATTCCCTGACCATCAGTCATCATGTGCACTGACTGATTTTGGCATCCTGCCTGTGGTAAAAACCGCATATGATCATGTATTTAAAGACCATTTAATACATACACACAATTAAGGCTGTACGGGCAACTTTAATTTAGCATTTCCTAACTTTTCAGTATTTGATATTGTAACCATGATGTTGTTTTCAAGTAGCTTTCTTGTATGTAATATGATACGTTACAAAAATGATATTTTTCACCTATAAATTAATGAAATATAGCACTGAATTTTAGCTCAGTTTTTGTCAGGGAATATTTAAGTAGTGCCTGATCCCATTCTTTTGCAAATCCAATCACATGAATGAATTTTTGCCTTGAGACCAAGAAACAATGAGGTCTCTTCCAGCCCTGGCAGTCTATGGTTCTGTGAACAACTTTCCAGTAAAATTCCTGAGGCAAACAGCTGGGGAACTTGTAATTTGTTTCCAGTATTGGCAGTTTGTTCATAAGCTCCATTCATATTGGCATAATGTTAAAATGTCTTCAAATTTAGGGTTTGCAGTTTTATATTGTGTACTAACTTAAATTTGTTTTTGCATACCCTTTGGGAAACTGCTCAGAAATGCTTTGAAATGCATAGTGTCTTGGGGCTAAGGTGAGTTATGTCTAAAGACTGCTTCTATTGTTTACTTGGACCAGCATTGCATTATTGGTTTAATTCTTCTCCCCGCTCTCTTCCGAAGTCTTCTGAATGTAATTTTAGTTGATTTCTAATAAATGTAGTCACTTACACAGTTTTATTTCTTTGTAGAAGTGATAGTTCAAGTTCATGGTTAATTCAAGTAAACAGGGCTGAATATTAGGGATGTTAAATTTTGATTAATCAGCTAATAGCGTAGTCACTGGAAATTCCACCAAGTACTCTATTCATTGATGGGGAGCATGTTATCCCATTGCACCTCTCCTTTTGAATGTACACAAGCGGGTTCCCAGTGGGTTCCCGCGGTCTCTCTCCCTTCGAAATGTACAGGAGCTCTCAGTGCCTAGAGAAGCAGCAGTCGGGACTGGCCCGAGAGGGACTGTGCCGTTTCCCTGCTGCCCTCTGCTTCCCCTCCCCCCAACCTCGCAGAGACGGTGCTAGTGTGGAACCAGCTTTTAAACTGGCTCCCCCCAGCACTGGCTCCTGCTCCCTCACACTTGCTGCGTCTCTCTGGCTATGTCTACACTGCCCTTCTCTTGTGCAAAAATGTATGCAAATGAGGCGAAGTGTGGAATATCGCGTGGAGCCTCATTTGCATAATTAATGGGGCTCCGTTTTTGCACAAGAGGCTTTTGCACAAAAAGGAGACGTCTACATGCTCCTTTTTGCGTAAAAACCCCATGTGAAAGAACGGCTCTTGTGCAAGAAGAGGGTTTTTGCGCAAAAAGGAACTGTGTAGATGACTCTTTTTTGTGCAAAAGCCTCTTGTGCAAAAACGGAGCCCCATTAATTATGCAAATGTGGCAAGGCGATATTCCACGCTTTGCCTCATTTGCATATGTTTTTGCGGAAAAGGCTATAGTGTAGACATAGCCTCTGACAGAGGCAGCAAGACAGGGCAGGGGGAAGTGACTAGTCAAGTTCCTACCTATCTGCATGATAAGCAAATGCTTATTGGATAGTCAACTAGTAGCTTACATCCCTACCCGATAAGCCTAGGCTTATTGGGTAGTCGACTGTTTGACTACTCTTTTACATCCCTACTGAATATATATAAAATATTGGAGTGTTGTCAGTTACCAGGATCAGGAACAGTCAACAAGGATTCAACAAGTGCAATTCATGCCTGACCAACCTGATTGCCTTTTATTGCATGTGTGGAAGAAAACAAGCCTTCACTCTGCATTTGTGAGCAACAAGTAGTCAGAGACAGTTTATTTGAGCAATATTGCAAGGGAAGAAACTGCTACTAGGCAGATCGTCGAATACAAGCAATTATGAAGCAGTTTATATACTGTCCGTTAGATATAATAACATTAAACAATTAGTCTCCTTCTCATTACACACACCAATGGCTAACAGTTATTTTAATTCCACCCAGATGCTCCTTATCTCAAAGTCCCTGCCAGAGTCAGCATTCTGTCCTTATCTCCATATGGAGGCGAGAGGCGAAGGCAGTGTCTTATTACAGCTCTTGCGTTGTCAGGCCACAAACTTAGCCTGACTCTTCCTCTCTTGCTAACAAGACCAACATGGCTGCACACAAATTCCCTTATTCTCTTTTCCCTGCCTCCACACATGGTAACTGGCTCTGTAGATATGGGAAAGGTGGTGGATGTGATATTTCTTGACTTTAGCAAAGCTTTTGGTACAGCTTCCTACAGTATTCATGCCATCAAGTTAAGGACATATGGATTGGATAAATGGACTGCAAGGTGAATAGAAAGTTGGCTAGATTGTCAGGCTCAATGGGTATTGAACAGTGGCTTGATGCCTGGTTGGCAGTCAATGTCAAGCGGAGTGCTGCAGAGGACAGTTCTAGGGCCAATTTTGTTCAACATCTTTATTAATGACCTGGATTAGGGCAGGGATTGCACCCTCAGCAAGTTCGCAGATGACACTAAGATGAGGGGAGACGTAGATATGTTGGAGGGTAGGAATAGGGTCCACAGTGACCTAGACTAATTGGAGGATTGGGCCAAAAGAAATCTGATGAGGTTCAACAAGGATAAGTTCAGAGTCCTGCACTTGGGATGGAAAAATCCCAAGCACTGCTACAGGCTGGGGACCAACTGCCTAGCCAGCAGTTTGGCAGAAAAAGTTCCAGGAGCTACAGTGGATGAGAAGCTCGCTATTAATCAACAGTGTGCCCTCGTAGCCAAGAAGGCTAATGGTATATTAGGGTGCATTAGGAGGAGCATTGCCAGCAGATCTAGAGAAGTGATTGTTCCCCTTTATTCAGCACAGGTGAGGCCACATCAGAAGTATTGCATCCAATTCCGGCCCCCCCCCCATTACAGAAAGGATATGGACACATTGAATAAAGTCCATCAGAGGGCAATGAAAATGATTGGGGGGGAGGGGGTTGGAGCATATGACTTACGAGGTGAAGCAGAGTGATTTGGGGCTGTTCGTTCTATAGAAGAGAAGAATGAGGGGTGGATTTGATAACAGCCTTTGACTACCTGAAGTGGGGATTCCAAAGAGGATGGAGAGAGATGTTGTCAGTGGTGACAGATAACAGAGCAAGGAACAATGGTCTCAAGTTGCAATGGGGGATGTCTAGATTGCATATTAGGAAAAACTATTTTACTAGGAGGGTGGTGAAGCACTGGAATGGGTTACATAGGCAGGTAAAGGAATCTCCATCCCTAGAGGTTTTTTAAGTCCCAGCTTGACAAAATCCTGGCCACGATGATTTAGTTGGGGTTGGTCCTGTTTTGGGGAGGGGATTGGACCTCCTGACATCTTTTCCAACCCTATGATTCTATGATTACCTTTGACCTAATCCTCCTTTTCTCCCCTGCAAAAGGGTAACAAATGTTTTCTACCATCATACTGTTCTCTCTGCTTGTAACAGTTCTTTTTTTACACTGTCTGGGACTTGTCTATTTAGACTGTAAATTTGTAGTGGCATTTATTGCTGTGCCTACCCTGCCTACTATAATGGGATCCATTCCTGGATGATTCTTAGACGTTAAGCTTTAAGCGTTAAGCTTACAAAAACTCTCAGAATCTTTACAGTGGAAAAGGCAGTACAGTATGCCAGGCTTATGCTATAAAGATACTAAAATCAGCATATGTGCTAGGGATGTTGGAGGGTAATAGAATAGTCAACTAACTACATGAATTTTTAGCAATTAGTCGACTATTCTATAGTCCTGGGGGGTGGGACCAGCAGCCAGTGCGTTCCCGGCCCCACTCCCGGGGAGTCCCCTTCCACCCCCCTGCTTCCACGGAGCAGCCTCTGCCCGCGGTGAACCAGGACCTGCTACAAGCAGAGGCTGCTTTGCGGCAGCTTTCCCTGCTCCCCTCTTGCGCTGATGCTTCTGATAGAGGCAGCAGCACGGGGTCATGAGGGACAGGCGGTACCATGGAGCCAGTGCTGGGAGAAACTGGCTTTTAATCTGGCTGTCCCCAGCACTGACTCCTGCTCCCCCCTCCCCTTCCTGCGGTGCCTCTGATACAGAGGCAGCGCAGAGGGGAAGTGAGTGGTTGACTAGATTAGCAAATAAGCCTAGGTTTATCAGTTAATTGTCTAGTTGACTACTTGTTGACATCCCTAATGTGTACATTAACATATACGCACATAAACAAACATGAAAAGATTCTGCAGCCGGAGTTAAATTACCAGTCCTTACCATTGCTTGAATTGTCTTAGTGGTCAGCCAGATAGAACAGGATTGGTATGCTCCGTTATTGTTGCAGAATGTACCCAAAGCTTATGGCTCTTGCTGCTCTTTATAGAAATAGCTCTCATGTAAGGCTATAGATTTTGCTTTCAGATAGGCTTTGTTACAGATTTGCCATTTTCACCATAATCTTTCATCGGGGATGTTTAGATCCTCGATCACAAACTGGGTATCCGGTGTTGAGACAACTGCAGATGCTTTGATATTTCAGGGCCTTCAATCTGCACTGATTGGATCATTGGGGAAAGGTGATACTGGTGTCTTGATTTCCTTTTCTCCCTGTTTTGTAATTAGGCCCAACTGTTGCTGGTGTCCTATCTCGTTTTTGCACATGTGCTGTTCTTTATGTGAATCAGGTACACAATAGTTTAAAAACATAATTCTAAAAGGCAGAACAGAACAATTTCATATTACAGTTCTTCACTAACACAATTTAGCTAATAATTTTCAAGTTAGTAATATGAAATAGCTTTATTGCATATAGGTAATCATAAATCAAGAAACTAAGACAATTTCATAACGTTTGACTTACAAAAGCAATAGTAATTAATTACATCTTTCTCCTCTTTTAGGTATATGTATCATGTTTTGACCAAAAATACCACAGTAACGGATCACAATCGCAATCTGTTAGTGGAGACTATTCGTTCTATAACTGAGATCCTTATATGGGGAGATCAGAATGACAGCTCCGTGTTTGAGTAAGTGCTTTATGTCTTCACTATTTTTTTTAAAAAAAGGTCAGTTGATATAAGAACAGAAGGCATTTGTAGATGGAATGTTATCTGAGATGAATTGTGAAGCTTGTAGCATGGTTCCTACCAAATGTATGCTACCTGTAATTCAGCTGTCCATAGAGATTAACTTTCCTACTGTGAAAATCATTGATTGCTTTAAGAATTTTCTTAATTATACTTGAATTATTCTTGGTAGAGTTCCTAAACACACTTCATTTT